GGGGGGGGGAAGCTGCTGCAGGACTCCCCACCCCAGCTCACCTCTGCTACGCCCCCTCCCCGAGCCCGCCGCCCCCGCCGGCAATTACAATAATTGCATGGAGTGGCCGCTGCGCTGGGAGAGGGAGTCTGAGCCGCACGTGTCAGCGCGCCGCTGGCAGCCCAGCCCAGGAACGCTGTAAAAAAAAATGGGGGGCACTGCTTTTTGGTGCCCCCAAATCTTGGTGCCCTAGGCAACCGCCTAGTTTGCCTTAATGGTAGCGCCGGCCCTGGGTGAGGCACGTGGGGGGAGAACACATACTGACGATGGGTGATGGGATCATTGCCTGAGGCAACATGCCACTATGGGGGCCCTTTCCCTGTGGAGCCCTGCTCCCATGGGAAGCTGGAGGTGCGAGCAATGCATGAGGGAACATCTCAGATCCGAGCCCCTTCCACCAAGAGAACTTTGCACGGCCCTGGATCTGAGTAAGGGAGACTTTCCTATAAACATTGGACTTCTTTTCGGTATTTTAGAGGAAGTTAGAAGAACGGGGGAGGGGAGAGGTGATGATGGCGCTGGCAGCGTAATGGACAGCTGGTTCAAATCTCCGTGCTGAGCTTCGTGGCGAGATTGCACCGTGAGATGTCAGGGAAAAAGGCCCAGGCAATGATGGGCTGCCTCCACAGGGCATCCCATCATGGACAAGGGAGGGACTACAGCTCTGCTGTCTGGAATATTCTTCCGGGCACCTCCTCCCCAGAAGGCGTTCAGAGAAGGGCCACAGAAATGGTCAGGGATCAGCTCCCAAGGCAAGACCTAGGTCTGCTCAGCGTGGCTCAGGGAGGGGACGTACCTGACGTGTACAGGTATTTGAAATGTGCAAAGCCCCCGGAGGGGAACAGGTGACCTGGGCTGGCACCGAGCGGGTTCATGAGGAGCACTGAGGTGGGAGTAAGGAAGTGAGGGTAGATGGGGCAAAACTTCGGAGGAAGTATCGTGGGGAACGATGCGGCGCTGGCTGCCCGAGGGGCTGGCTAAGGGACTCACTCGGAGCCATTTGATTCATTCTTATGATCACTTATGATTTGTGGTCCGGCCCCTTTACCCCCATTTGGTATTGGTGTCAAACGCGATGAGATCAAATCGGTCGGGCCCGGGTCTCATTCACACAAGGCCCCGTCCCGCTGCTCCGGCGGATTAAAGGGGCCGTAAAGCAGGTGTATTCACTTTAAAGCCACTTTAAGGCTAGAGGTGTAAACGGGCGAGGGGCTTGTCTGCGCCATTGACCGGAGTAGCTATTGCAGGGTAAATTATTCCACACTAGCGACTCTGGAAGAGCTCTGGGGGGGGATGCGCTCACTTTGGAATAGTGAGCCGTTCACATTCACGCCCTGCCTTCCGCTGGAATAGCTTCCCCCTGCAGACAAGGCCCTAGTGTAAAACAGAATCTCTCCGATAGTATTTTGTGCCCTGTAGCGGAGTGGTCACCCGCTCCTGCCTTAAAAGGCTTAAATCAGCCCGGGGAGAGGGCTGTGGCAGGGAAGGAAAAGCGGGGCTGATTGGGGAAAGCAGCCTCAGCTGGGGCCACACCCCAATCAGGCCGAGGCTGGCTTAATGAGGGCCCAGCTGGCCCTTATAAGAGGGCTGTGGCCACTCCAGACACCAGAGAGAGACTCTCTCTAGCTTTGAGAGGGAGGGACCTGGCTGCAGGGAGCTGAGAGAAGGTACCTGGAGTGGAGCAGGGCTGGGGGAAGGCCAAGGGAGCTGGGGAGCTCTGGCTTGGAAAACCCCAGGCTGTGGCCTAGTCTAAGGCCAGTTAGGTACTGGGGTTGCAGGGGGCAGCCCATGGGTAGGCAGAGGCAGCAGGTCCAAACCCCCCTTGCCTATGATGAGTGGCTTTTACACTGCAGTCTGCCCCAGTGAGCGGGGGCTAGATGGTGACTGGCAGTAGCCCACGACTGAGGCAAGGTGGGGATAGAGGGTTGGGGGTTCCCCTGGGTGGGGAGACCCTGAGACTGCGGGGGTATTGCCAGGGGGCAGCACCCCAAAAACAAGGGGCACCAGGTCCTGGGAGGGACATGGGGGCCAGCGGCAGTGGGACACCAGCCTACAGAGGGCGCTCCAGAGGCTAGAAACACTAATTCCCAGAGACGACCAGCAGGAGGCGCCACAGGGGTGAGTCCCGCACCATCACATGCCCCCTTTGCACCAGTGCCCATGAGATCACAAGGTTCAGGGCCCCTTTAGACCCTCATCATTCCTGCAAGTTGCTGGTGAAACAGCCCTGTCCTGTCACGCTGCTGAGTCCCTGCGTTGATACAATTGCTACGGGTTGCATGCACCACTGCAGGTGCCGGCTCACAGGAAGAGGGAAGGTTTCGGTTCCCCATGTGGCTGAGGAATGGAATACGCCCAGCCTCTTGTGCAGATGGGAAAGGAGACCAGTCGACTCACATCAGAGGCAACAGGCCGCACCAGCGTGGAGACACAGCTCTGTCAGCTTGGATCAGAATGGATTGTGCCGGCAACAGCATTAGCCAATTGCCAGGTAAGGGCCCCCCCCCCCCCCCCCCCCCCCCCCCCCCCCCCACCCCCCCC